AGTTGTGGGTTCGAGTCCCGCCCCTGATATTAATTTTTTTTCTCAGCCTTCTTTACACAAAAATTGGAAAAATACTTACAATACCCTATACACATTGGATAATGAAAATGAAAACGAGGCGAACCACTTCGATCCGGCCCTCTAATGTTAAAATACAATTTAAAAAATCATGATTACAAGCATCGTCATTGGGCCAGATCGGCCAGGAAACTATCACATATGAAAATCGATGTCGATTGGTGGCCCTCGAAGGATCTGACATGTAAAAGAGACCCGATTAAGAATAGGCCATGCGAGGTTGTCACATGGACACATATTTTTTGGGCCAAAATCCTCGTATGTGACCGGCATGTAGACAAAGGTTGCTGGATGTGTCCCACGTAGTTCAAGGGTGCAATTCCTTGGCTCCATATAGAGAGCGTGTAGGAATGCCACTCGACATGAGATTCAGCGAGATGGTGTAAAAGATTGATTTAAAGAAAGATTGTTAATCGCAAATATTAAATTGTTTTTATTGGATTGTAAGAAATATTGAAAAAATCCTTACTTCGGTTAGAAGAACACAACTTGAAAGGAATAATCGAATTCCAGGGGAAAACTTTCAAATTCGTCTCCGATCTGTCTTGTTAGGGTGTATCCATCCCGCTGGGAATGCTACTAATTAAAAATGACAGCCGATATTAAAGTCCAATTATCCTGTCTTTTATCCCCGGCCTTTTCCCGAAGACGAATTGTTCATATTTTCAAACATCAAAATTGAAAATTGCTTTCTGGTGGGGAAAAAATCCTCTCAAATTACTCTGCTCCGAGGGTCGATCGGGCAAAAACCACCACCTTCCTAGGGGAAAATTGGCTATTTTTTTCTTCTCCTTTGTGCTATGCCCTTGGCCATCTGCCTCCAAATTACAGTTTAGGCGCCCTGCTAAGAACTCATTACTTCAGTTTTAAATTTCGTCCTTCCGACAAAACAGCAACTTTATAAAACCTAATATTTTTACCCATATTTTTACACTCTTGCATGAAAACCAACAAAATATGACCAATAAAAAAATTACGGAAACTGTACCTTATGATTTCTCATAAAAACTCATAAAAATAGTAAGGAAAATGGCGCGTATTCTTGCTTGATTTATTCAACCGTATCTAAAATTCCGCAGAATTTCCGGAAGGTCCATAATAACCCAAACTGTATACTTTTTGACCAAAAATGGTGCAAAATTTAGAGGTAGACTTAAAGGATCCCTTATGCTTCAAAGTCCTGCAAAAGTACCCGAGGAATGATGCTTTCATCTGCTTCGTAGTCTAGTAGGCAATAAGATGAAATGTTTCAGACAGACATACGAGTCTCGTTAGACTTAAGTCATTGTGGATGGATTAGAAAAATGTCTACTAGCACAAAGACGGAAAAATTTCACTCAGTGAAGATGACATGAAAGGGATTAGAAAAAAATTGAGTAAAACGTAAACTGGTTTGTCTATGCTCATTTAAGCGATCAGTCAAAAGTTCAACAAGTTCAAGTTGATAATTTTTTTTTAAATTGCTTGTCAGACTGCTTGTCTTAAAAGGCAGCATAGTATCTAACAATATTGATCAGATAAATTTTGAGTTTAGAATATGAAATGTGCCTTTGAAGGGTGGTCACACGATGATCGAAACATTGTTGTTGATGATCCACTGGCTGAAGTCTTAAGGTTGTGCATACCTTCAGGATGGACGAAGGATGCACAAAGCATGGGGTACTTCGTGGATCATAAAGGACAGCTTGATCGATCTTCCGAAGAAGAATGGAAAAAGGTCCGGGGGAGAACCTTTTTAATTTTTTTAGTACGCACGAGCTGACAACAGCGGATTATTATATTTTCGTTTCAAGCCTTTGGTCCGGATACGGGCGGGGGTGGTGGAGGAACGATTTGAGAAAGAGAAGGGGTTTTTTTTAAGGGGGGAGATATGACTGCGCGATGAAAAATGTAACCGTCCTAAAATGAGAGGAGGAGTCCGGGAGGCGGAGATGGTGGAGGGTTGTCTCAAATAATCAATATTAAAAATTCTCCGAGCCTCCCCCGCGCCTTATCCGATGCAAGCGACCACGGCCACGATTAATAAACACGCCCCTGGAGGGTGTCTTTTTCTACCTCACGGGGGTTGTTTTACAAATCCATAATAGTCTCGGCGACCTTGAACTTGACACCACATCCGTATCTTTTCCTTTTTCTTCGTCTCTTTTTTGTCCTATCTACGTATTTTATTTCATTGGATGGAAGGAAATAAACAAGCCCTTCAATTAAGTTAACATGGCCGATACCAATTGCATATCTATCGACTTATAGGATCAAAATGTTCTCATTTTATATTATACGACCAACATTTACGTATTTTTCAAATTGATAAGCGAAAAAATGGTAAATTTTACACAAACGTATAAATCACCTGTATGGGTTCGTACTTCGTGGATCATAAAAGACAAGCTTGATCGATCTTCTGAAGAAGAATGGAAAAGGTCCTGATTCTAGTGCGACTTTATATAAATTAACTCATTTACTCATAAGAACAGACAGCCAAGAGGCCTTACATGTCCTTTTAGTCAATGAATGCATCCAAAAATCGTCAAAACAACAACCTTATAATATCTTGGGCGTCAGGTACAAAAGGAATTTTTGGTAATGAACAAACATAAAAACATGACACAGGAGGACCTGCAAGACCGATTATAGGCCAAGATCCTATAATTGCGATAAAAAGATCAAACTCCTTCATTTTATAATGGATGCTGGACGAAATTCAAAGGTAACAGACACACATGATGAAAACTACAGTAAGGAAAATTCAGGAAAAAAATGACACCTGACAATATCTTAGGTGCCAAGGCACAAAGGAATTATGCGTAATGGCCAGACAAACATGCCAGAGGAAGATCTGCAAGATCAACTAAAACCCCCGAAAGTTACAATTGGGTAAACAAGGTCAATCATAGACTTCTCCTTCTCAAAATGGGTTCACACAATGCAAAATGAGAAAGGACGAACTCTTGTGGTGCCAGATATATCGAACTAATGGTTAAACCATAAACAAAACTGGTAAACACATTGCTACAGTTAGACAAGGTAAAACTCGAGTAAACAACCTCAAAATTTCTGGGCTATCAGGGCAAGAAAAGAATTTTGAGTAATGGCCAAACAACCTGGCCAGTGGAGGATCTGCAAGACCGGCAGTAAGCCCAGAGTCTATAATTGGGATAACAAGATCAAACATAAACGCCTCTATGTTACAATGGATTCTGGACGACCTTCAAAGATTCCAGACACGATGAAAACTACAATAAGGAACACTCAGTGAATACATAACAACATGACAATATCTTGGGTACCAGGGCACAAAGGAATTATCTGTAATAGCCAGACAAACATGCCAGAGGAAGATCTGCAAAACCAACTGCCCAGAACCTATAATTGGGTAAACAAAGTCAAACATAGACTCCTCCTCAAAATGGGTTCATGAAAAACAAAAGGAGAAATGAACGAACTCTTGTGGTGCCAGATATATGGAACTAATGGTTAAAGAACTCTAATCAAAACTGGTAAACACATTGCTAAAGCTAGACGAGGTAAAACTCAGAGCAAACATAACCTCAAAATTTCTCGGGTGTCAATACAAAAGGAATTTTCTGTAATGAACAAACATAGACACTGGTCACAGGAGGACCTGCAAGACCAATTATAGGCCCAGACCTTCAGAATAAATAAAACCTCAAAAGTTCTTGTGTATCAGGACAAAAAAAGAATTTTGAGTAATGGCCAAATAAACTGGGCAGTGGAGGCTCTGCAAGACCGCCTAAAAGCCCAGAATCTATAATTGGGATAACAAGATCAAACATTTGATATGAACTCCAAATGTACCAAAATAGTAAACTCGTGATGAAAGAACTCTCACCAAAACATTCTGACAATATATCAGTCTGACAATTGGGTGCCAGGGCACAAAGGAATTTCAGGTTATAGCCAGAAAGAAGAGCAAAACGGACGAACTCTAGTGGTGCTTGATTTAGGAAACTAATGGCCAACGATTCCCCACCAAAACTGGCATACACATTGCTACAGCTAGACAATGAACAATAAAAGTTAGAGTAAACATAACAACCTCAAAATTTCTTGGGCGCCAGGGCACAAATGAATTTTGGGTGGCCAACAGATGATCTACAAATCAGTACATAGTCCCCCTAACCTATAATTGCAACGCAATGCGGGAAAAAAAGTCAGTGAAAGCAGCCAAAAATCCCCAAAAGCTGGTAAAATATTACAACCTTAGGTACCAGGGCACAAAGGAATTTTGGGTAATGAATTTCACATTGCTACGGCTAGAGACAAACTAGCTAGGGAAGGATCTATAAGAAAAATGGATGAACTCTAGTGGCGCCAAACATAGTGAACTCATGGCTAAAGAACTTCACCAAAACTGGCAAACACTTTGCAACAGTTAGACTAGGTAAAACTCAATGGAAAGATATGACTACTGGTTCAGACATCTGAAACATACCTCCACAACATGGGTGTTTTCATTGATGACCCCATTTTTAGGTTATATAATGAGGAGGAAGAACCTACCTTCGTACGGCTCAATAGTGACATAAAAACTACCAAAATGGCTCAACAAGGACGTTCTATTTCTTAAAAAATAATGAAATTAATTGAACAACTAAGAAAATTAGGATTCCTAGTATCATTGTCATCATCATCATACACTTATAAAAATGATACTTTTGGACATTCATCATGCAAATTTTTATGCAAACTTAGATGAATTTTTAAGACCAAAAGCAAACAGTTATAAACATTATTAAACATACACACCTGTAATATGATAGACCAAACTACAGGTTCACCAGTACGCAGTACTCATGAATAAATCTTTTTTTTTTGTCTAAACCAAATTCAATCTTTTCCAAAAAAATTAACTTGATATGTCATTACATAGAATTTTAATTTCTCTTTTTATATTTTAATAGTTCCACAAGGGAGCCCGAGTTCTCCAGGACAGACCCAGAATACAGTTTCTCCAGTGCCGATTGCCCCAAAGAAACATTCCGTGTCTTCAGGCCAAACACCCACCCAGCCTGGAAGCAATGGCGGGAACGTGGCCCAGCAGGAGACTATCAGGCAAAATGTGCAGCAGTCGAGCATTCAAATGCAACAAACAGCCCAACTCCCGCAGCCTCCAGAGGTTTGCCTAAAATGGAATTCTTATCATTCAAACATGCGAGCAACTTTCCCAAATCTTCTGAACAATGAGCAGTTTGTCGATGTGACTCTAGCCTGTGAAGGCCGATCAATTAAATGTCATAAAGTGAGTAGGATCAAAACTTTTATGTGACTGGTTATAAAATTAATTATTCAATTTAGGTGATGCTGTCAGCCTGCTCTTCATACTTTGAAGAACTCCTTTCACAGAATCCATGCCAGCACCCTATAGTTTTCATGAGAGATCTGAAATTTTGGGAAGTTCAGGCTCTTGTTGAATTCATGTACAGTGGAGAAGTGAACGTAACACAAGACAGACTGCCATCTCTACTTGCCGCTGCTGATGCCCTTCAAATTAAAGGTAGGACATTTCAGGTTCATATAATAAAGAAAAATATTTTAAAATATAATTTTTAAAGGTTTGGCTGGTCCATCTACTGGAGCAAGTTCGGCTCAGGAGGACGATCGCTTGAGTGCAGGAGATACAGATGACACAGCGACTATCCAACATATCCACCACCAGCCACTTCTACAGAAGAGAGTCAGGAAACGCAAATCTACGAATCCGACAGCATATCCAGTAAGAAGCCAATGCATCGCCCAAGCGTTGAGTTCAACGATAAATAAAGCCCAAGCCCACTCAAACCAGACACATCAACCCAATTCATCTCTTCAGCATCAACTAAAACACAAATCGATGCATTCTGCTGGTAATGCAAAACCTTCGGCTGGGGTTCTTACGAGCTCAGGGTATTCACCGCCGGCAAAATCAAAAAGAGAAGACGACAGCTCTCCCAATTCACCTCTGGTAAGTTAAAACATCCATTAATCCTGACGATCTGTTTTCTAAGTATATCATTTTTTAGGCCTTGATCAAGGATGAACCTCTCGACCTTGGAATTGATTCAAAGGTAAAATAACAATACAGTAATTTTTTTAAAAATCTTTTTTAGAAAAACTAACTTATTGACATAATTATTTCAGGAAACGCTAACAAACTACAGACAAAGGTGTGGAACTAGCATATTGCCGAACGATAGGGATACTGGTCACATATCAAGTATGTATTGGTTGCATTAAATTACTGATTTCTGATTTACAAAATTGCTCGAGTCTACTCTATATGTACATACATTCACATGGGTATGTAGTTAAGTCTACACCTTCCCCCAGTTTAACCAGGCCTTGAACCCATCCCAGATGTTGGCAGTCCAGGGTCAGATCTCAAGATTGGGCTCCATGGGCTATCGACAGCTAGGCCATTTCACCTCCAGTGCAATTATTACCTAAATACAAGCCCTTCCACACACTCACTCAACCTTACATTTTTAAATCCATTACAGTTCGTGGTCCGATTGACCAATTAACATTTTTCAATTAATTAATATTTAATTTATTTAATTTTCAAAAGGTGTTGGTAAAGATAAAAAAGTCAGCGTCACGAGCGGGATTCGAACCCACGACCTTCGGATAAATACGCCGCTACTTTACCACTAGCTATCATGACTTCAATCCGTTCGGTCACTAACCTCCCATCTTAACCACACCTTTTGAATTTTCCCTCCTTTTTGTCATTTTTCAAATGTCATGTAATCTATTTGGTTCTCAGTGACAAATGAAATGGCCACGGAGAGCTTTCATGAAGATATACTTGAAAAATGGCAAAAAGAATGGAAAATTCGAGAGTTGAGGTTAAGTGGGAGGTTAGTGTCTGAGCAGATCAAAGTCACGATAGCTCAAGAGGTAGAGTAGCGGCTATTTAGCCGAAGGTCGTGGGGTTTGGATCCTGCTCGTGGCACTGACATTTTTATCTTAACCAACAACTTTTATAAAAATTAATTAATTGAAAAATGTTAATTATTTGATTGGACCACGAACTCTAATGGATTTAATAATTAAACTGAAGTATATCTTCATGAAAGCTCTCCATGGCCATTTCTTTTGTCGCCAAGAATCAAATAGATTACACGACATTTGAAAAACGACAAAAAGAAGGAAAAATTCGAGAGGTTGGGTTGGGATGGGAGGTTAGTGTCTGAGCAGATCGAAGTCATGATAGCTCAAGTGGTAGAGTAGCGGCATATTTAGCCGAAGGTCATGGGTTCGAATCCCGCTCATGATGCTGACTTTTTTATCTTTTTACTAACATCTTACATTCTCACTTATTTACAAACCATCAGCTAGTAGAAATGAAAAAGGGGGAGTATGTTGTTCAACTACTTTAAAAGAGTGTTCTTACTCACAGTTTGTAACACTCAGTTAGGGTGGTGGGATACCCGATATTCTGACATCAGCCTTCTTACACTACACATTCATTCCAATAAATGCATTCACTCTCAACACATGATAAGGACACAAAACTATAAGTATTATATATGATAAAACAACCCTGTTTCCTCCAAAAGTCAGAACAACGGACCCAGATACTCGCTGCCATGCTCAGTAGGAACAGCTGTAGAAGAACATGATTCTCATATCAAGTGATGTTCCTACACACTCTCTACATGATGCAAAGACCCCTGACTAGGTGGGACACATTGAGCAACCTTTCTCTTCTGCTGGACATAATGCAGGCTTTGGCCAAAAAGTAAGGTTTGTGTGTCAACCTCACATGGCCAACCTTAATTTGGTAAGGATTAACCCTTCTTCTTCGAGTTAGGTCCTCCAAGGATCACCCTTCGTCAGTGCTCTTGATACACGAGAACTTGCCTTCTGATCCTACCATTATCTTTTAATCATGTTTTTTTTGCATTTTTAACATCAGGAGGCTGGATAACAGAGGTTAAGTCCGAAGTTGGGACGTCCCAGCCTTCATCGCTTCACTGCATTTTTGGGATATTAAATCTTCTTATATTTAAATAATAATAAGACAAATTAAGCTAAAATAAACTTCCTTGCGATAAGCCAGGATTCTAACCCAGAAGCACTAGGAAAATATTAGTTGATTTGATTTAACTGCTAAGCCTCCTTGATCCCCAGTTCATTAACTTTCCTCAGATGTAAAATTTAAAAAAATGTATATAATAAATTATTATATTGCTTTTAATTAAAAATCTAATTCATGAATGTAATAAAAAATCTACTTTCTAGGACGTGAAGATCTAAAGGATGAAAATGGTGTTAGCGATGAAGATATGGAAGAACAGCATGAGGATGATGAGTTTGATGGTGGCGGTTATGACAGCAAACAGGAGAACAGAGACTGCAAAAGATTCAGCAATGGCGACGATGAAGACAGTGTCCGTGGCAGCAGAGAAAGCACTCCAAAGAAGGACAAATTGTGAACAGCACAGCATTGATACTCTTTTGAACACACCAAAGAACAATAATGACAGCGGAAGACAATATACAAATATTTTCTTTTAAACGATTAAAAGAATGAAAAACATGATGATCTCTCTTTTTTATACTGTTTTTGTTCATGAATTTTAAGCCAAAAAAAAATTACATGTACTGGAATTTGTTTTTATAATTTTGTATGTAATGTCACGCAACATTTTGAATTTTTATTTGGCACATTTTTATTGTGATACGTATACTTTGTTTTTTATCATACAAATAATTGTGGGTAATCTTTTATACTTAATTGTAATATTTAAGAGTTTCTCCATTAAGACAAAAAAAAAATATAGTATAATAATAGTAAAACAACTAAAGTATTTAGAAGACCAAAGGAAATTTATATAAATATACATATATTTATTACTGTCAGGGTTTGTTCCTGAGAAAAAAAACATTCTCATGCTTCTACCTACCTTATTTGCAGAATTAGATGTATGAATTTTAATACTCTAAGTTATAAGATTTTTTTTAAGAAATGTGTCCATAAGGTTTCCCCTCAGGGATCATTCTCATTGTAGATATTAATTTTGATATAAAAGTATTATTTCTTTAATAATTTAAGATTAAACGATGATATGTTTTGTTTGTATAAATCTTATTTGGCATTATTGTAAAGGTACTTAAGGATTTTTATGTTATGTCGTAGAGACTTGTGTCGTGTTCATGAAAAATATACTGTCTCTCCTCACTTTGATACCCAAAGATTGAAACCTTAGCAAAATGCACGGTTGGTTTAATTTAAGTAATAAGTTTTAAAATGTGTTTATAAAAAAATGACAACTTTCGTTGCTGCATAACCTTCAATTGGTATCAGTTAATCAATTTGAAGTATATATAATTTCTGCAATTATTTGCTGATGAGGAAAAAAGCTAGAAATGCTTTTTAGATTATATTAGAGATCTTGTGAGGAAGAAAATATATCAGTATAAATAAACAATTATGGTGAATAGTATTATCTTAGATTTTTGCCTTATATAATTTTAATAACAATAAACTGTATTTAAGCATAGTACGAGTTTGTATAACAATCCCCAATTAATTTTTTTTTTGCCCATTTGCAGTCATCATCTACAAGTCTTTCAAATGAAATTTAAAAAAACTTCTCTTAAATTTAAATTAATTAAGGTTTTTAGTTGAGATAAAAAGTCAGTGTCACGAGCGGGATTCAGACCCCACGATCTTTGGCTAGATACGCCGCTGCTCTACCACTTGAGCTACCTCTAACTACCTCAAGGTAGGTGGTAGAGCAGCGGCGTATTTAGCCGAAGGTCGTGGTTTCGAATCCCGCACGTGACACTGACTTTTTTTATCTCAACCAATACCTTTCATAAATATTAATTAATTGAAAAAATGACACTAACTTCCCATCTCAACCCCATCTTTTGAATTTCCCTTTACTTTTATTTGATTAAAGTAAAATATAAGTAATTAAATTCACTAGTTTTAGTGGTCCGCTTGGCCAATTAATATATTTCAATTAATAAAGTTTTTTAGTTCTCATTGTTTTTATCTCAACTAAAAACCTTAATTAATTGAAAGGTATTAATTGGTCAAGCGGACCCCGAAAACTAGTGAATTTAATAACTTAAAATAAAGTATACCTTCACTAAAGCTCTCCATGGCCATTTCATTTGTCGCCGAGAATCAAGTAGATTGCACGACATTTGAAAAATGGCAAAAAGGAGGGAAAATTCAAAAGGTGGGGTTGAGATGGGAAGTTAGTGTCCGAGTGGATCGAGGTCACGATAGCTCAAGTGGTAGAGCAGCGGCATATCTAGCCGAAGATCGTGGGTTTGAATCCCACTTGTGGCACTGACTTTTTTATCTCAACTAAAAACCTTCATTAATTGAAATATGTCTTAAAGGTTAATAAACTTAGAATAAAGAGTAGATCTTAGTTAATTGAAATATATTAATTGGTCAAGCAGACCACTAAAACAAGTGAACTTCTCTTAAATATTTAATTAATGAATACAATGTATTTACGAACATTTAAGCTTCATAAAGCTTTTCAAAAATTGTCTATTTACAAAAATATATGCATATAAAATGAAAATATCAGGTCAGAGACGGTCAGAACTTCACTGATGTTTGATTTGGCTGGTACATCGATTAGATTTGCAGGCCCAAATGATCCAATCACTCACTAATCTGATGGATCAAAGCTCAGCAAAAACATGCTACCCAAACAAACTGGATGGGAACAAAATACTTCGGGCACACAACAATAATTATTAAAATCAGACATCCGTTCTTAAAAATTGGGCCTAACTACGTAATCCCGTAAACACTTTTTAAAACATTTAGCCATAATTTGTTTTTCTAAGTCACAATTTTTGTAAAAAATTTAGAGTTGTAATGCATGCCATAAAGTTATGATGCAGTTTGAGTAAAATTGTCAATGGCTTTGTTAAAGAACTAAATTTGTTGTTAATCTTTCAATTAATTAAGGTTTTTAGTTGAGATAAAAAAGTCAATGTCACGAGCGAGATTCGAACCCACTACCTTTGGCTGGATATGCTGTTGCTCTACCACTTGAGCTATCGTGGACTTCAATCCACTCGGACACTAACTTCCCATCTCAACCCCACCTTTTGAATTTTCCCTCCTTTTTGCCATTTTTCAAATGTCGTGTAATCTATTTGATTCTTGGCGACAATTGAAATGGCCACGGAGAGCATTAGTGAAGATATACTTCATTCATATCTCAACTAAAAACCTTAATTAAGATATTAGTTGGTCAAGCGCACCACGAAAACAAGTGAATTGAATAAGTTAAAATGAAGTATATCATCACAAAAGCTCTCTGTGGCCATTTCAATTGTCGCCGAGAATCAAATAGATTACACGACATTTAAAAAATGGCAACAAGGAGAGAAAATTCAAAAGGTGGGTTGAGGTGGGAAGTTAGTGTCCGAGTGGATTGAAGTCACGATAGCTCAGGTGGTAGAGTAGCGCCATATCTAGCTGAAGGTCGTGGGCTTGAATCCCGCTTGTGACACTGACTTTTTATCTCAAATAAAAACCTTAATTGAAAGATACTAATTGGTCAAGCGAACCACGAAAACTAGTGAATTGAATTTGTCGTTAATATTTTCCCCTATATCTGATTTTAATTTTTTTTATTACTGCCATTAATTAAATGTCTGGATTTTTGGTTGTGTGCACTGCAATTAAAAGATTCCCTATGGATCATAGACATTTTGATCCTTTTTTCGCTTCTTTGGATGTTGGACTTACATTCAAAATGATAAAAAGTTCTGCATTTGTTACATTTAATAGAATCATGTGTGACGACGTGATCACAAAAATTGCATAAAATTTTGGGAACTAGACCCTGTTTTTGGGTTTCTGACTTACTACTTTTTTCTTGTTTTTTGGGACATATTTAAGGACTTGTATGTAAGGAGGGTGTAATATACTGGGCAAAAACATATACATACACTTTACGTTTTACCTCCTGAAAATTTTTTATTTTTTTATTTTTAAAAACCAGACATAATTTGGTCAAGTAAATTTCTATTCAAATTATCTCTGCTACCAGGGTAATAAAACCTGATGAATTGCATATACCACGGTTTAACCACTTGTACACAATATCCTTGTCTCAGTACATTTTAAGCAGGGACACACCCAATGCCTTGTCGCATGTTGGTGGAGTGTGCATATCTGTTTGGCCCAAGCACATCCCACACGATAGACTGTACAGAGTAGTATTTGTGAAATGGATAGCTCTGAAAAAGGATATGAGGAAGATACGGAAGTACTAGCAGCAGCAACGGTAGGCTAGCTTTTAACAATGAATAGAAAAACTTGGGTTCATGAAATTTATTTCATGTGTCCATACTTTTTTTTTATCCACAGTATCTGCACAGTGTAATACAATCTTATGGAAAATTGGACATCAGATTGGCATTGGGTCATGTCGTGTTGTGTTGCGTCGTATGTCTTCCCCGCATCTTGCAAGATCTTGTATGGACTTGCATGCTTTGGAAAAATTTTACTGTTGGGACTCAAATACCACAATTTTTACGCTTCCACACAATCAACTGTTACCCATTCCTAGCTTTGCTGCTAGGTCCTAACCCTCGGAGGTCTTGTTTATCTTAAAATCTTACCTATAAAGGTCCAGAGGCGTCCTCGCCAGGTTCAAGCCCACTTCAGTGAATAAGCAGAGTATGCTGAGATGTTAATTATTCTTAAGCAGTAATAAATATTAAAGGAAGTGTGTGGATAAAATTAAAATATAAAATGGAAAAAGAATAAAGAAACTTTGTCAACTGAAAAGACAAATTTGTCTTTTTATTTAACTTAGGCATTGGTACAATTAAAAGAAATGTATAGGACTTGAACTTTCTTATGGCAGGAAATGAAAGAAATAACTAAGTACTTATGGTTAGCCAAGCAAGTTACAAATTTAACAAAATGGTGATGTCCACCGAGGATATCTCGCTATCTCCAGTGCGAATTGTCCACTTCCCTTGGGGCAGGGGTAATGTGGGCTGGCTTAACAGGTGGCTAACCTTAGTTCATATCAATACTTAAAGTATATGGATTAAATTAAAGTTTAAAAAATTAGCCATTCATAATTAGGTGACTATATGACTTATTGTGGCTGTTTAGATGAAAAATCTCAGTTTCGCATAGGTTAATTTTTGGCAAATCATAGAGCAAGTTTTGTTTTTTCAAGGATTGGTTGAAATTTTTGTAGACAGAGCTGAAAAGGGGGGGTCAGACTCAAAAGTAGATTTAAATTAGGTGGTGTCTGAAGTAATATCTACCAAACATTCGCTTGGTTAGGCCGGTATTCATGGTCTTGCAGCATTATATCTTGAAATGTTGGGAAGTAGTGCTCAAAGGATATATCCCAACTTGAAAGATGTTCACATATCACACTCAAGAAAAGTGACATAAGTCGAAAAATTATAAAAACTGGATTTTTTAGTAGTTGTTTTTAAGTATTCGGTTGTGTGATGCTACAGGAAAAATGACTCAACTGTATGTGGACTCTTAGCAGCTAGGCAGCACTATGTGTCACTTTAGAATTGGCAGAAATGTACTGTCATCATTCATGAAAAAGTGGCATATCTTAGTTCTGTGTCGAGCTTTAAAGCATCAGTATATGAAATATCTGTAAAAATGACTTTTACATTACGTGGGCAAACAACAAATTTGTTGACAACCATCAAGAGGAAACTGCCATCAATAGTGAAGTCTGTCAGTTTTCAAATTCCACCTCTTTGGCAATTACTTTGAGTAAAGTGTTATGGATATAGGATCTTTTCGTTGCACTTTGATAACGGCTAATGAGAAGTATGACCTCTAGTTCTGTATAGTTCTGGTTTTTCAAATTTTACTTACAAATCTGGGAAGCATGAATGCTTAGTTGCAAATCAAAAGGTTACAGAAAATCAAAATTTTTAAAAACTGAATTACCACAATTATATTTTATGCGAAAAAAGATTGCATGTCTTTAATTGAATCTAACAGATCTTTGTGCTGCGTTTTTCTTTTCATTGTAAGAGCAAAGTAGCACTAATTTTAGAATTATTTTAGTTTTAAATGTTAGAAGTATTGACCTATTAATTGAGCTATTAAATATTGATGAATCATTTTTTTCCCCAACAACCGTACTGGCATAATACATATGACATCAAAACTAAACTTCCATCTGTCTCTCCTGTAAAATTTTCTTTTATTGAGTTGTGTCTCTTTACTTTTGGGTGTGTGATATTTCATCAACTAATGCACTCCAGTTAGTTTTATTTTAACAAATCATTTAACACAGAAAAACCCTCAACCTAACAAACTAAACCCAAAACTGAATTTTTCTTTTGAAGGTGCGAAGTTTGTCATTAGCTTTGAAAGATGTGATACTCTTCCCTTGCGAAGAACAGTGTACATTATTCATCATTGAAAATAGTCCAATTTGGCATTGTTGTCCATCAATAGCGAAAAAGGGAGCATCGGTGACCACAATGGTTTAGACGTTGGCACGGCGCTCATCACTGTAAGGTAAAGGTCCTGCATTCGGACATACTTTGACATACTTACAAACTTTTTTTCCCAAAAATAGCGATAAGACTTCAGAATGTAATTCCTATAATCAAGAAAGTGCTTTCCCATGAGACCATCTCACTTGTTTATGTAGAAGAAATGAAGGATGAAGGCTTCCCATATTGTCACATAGTATTGTGAATACCTGGTTTTCAGTAAACATTATTATTTTTTTTTTTTTATTTATACATTTTACATTTGTTTTTGTAATTATTAATTTTTCGTTTTCACTGCAGACCCCATACACAGGGTTGGCAAACCCCTTGAGGGTCCGTGAAACACAGTTTGGAGGCCCCAATTTAAACAAAAAGTAATAATCAAAAATACAAGTTTTATTCATGTGCAATTGTATTTTTTAATCCAGAATTGTATTTTCTATGGAAGATGGACCACGAAGTTGGACAAAATTAAGGTAATAGTAAACAGAGAAGAGTAAGTACCTGCAATGTTTTTTAATGATTATTTTTATTAAATAAATAAACAGCAAAGAAGAATATTAACATGAATAGCAAATTGTATCTAAATATATTAATTTTTAAACTGTGGGGGAGTGTCGGCTGAGAAAAGCATACTCTTCTGAAGAATTCAAGAATTCTAAAATTGCTAAAATATAAGTAATGTTTTATTTTTTGAAAGAATAAATTATTTAATTATTTAACTGATACATGTCTAATATTTTTAAAAATGGCAAAAAAAGGAAAATTTGATAGGTTGTACGTTGAGATGGGGAGTTGGTGTCCGAGTGGATCGAAGTCACGATAGCTCAAGTGGTAGAGCAGCGTATCAAGCCGAAGATCGTGGGTTCGAATCCCGCTCGTGACACTGACTTTTTTATCTCAACCAAGACCTTACAAAAAATGAATAATTTTTTTATTAAATTGCAATTGTATGTCACTCGATATGAGAATTTTTTTTTTTTTAAATTTAATTAATTTTTTTTTTTTTTTTTTTTTTTGAGCATTCAGCGAGTATTTGTATCCCCAGTTATGATTATTAGAGGAAACAGGGTTGTTTTATTGTATGTAGTGCTGATATTGTTTTGTAGCCTAGTTGAGAGTAAATTAGCATGAATGTGTAATGACAGTTGATACCAGAATATTGAGTACCCCATCAATCCTCAGTTAGGTTAATTATATAATAAATGAATGGATGAATAATAGTATTTATTTAGTAGGATACAAACAAACTCAAAATATTTTACAAGGTACTTTACAGCATGGACAACAGTCCCTCAGCCGGAGGTTATATATAAGAAGTTAGTTATTAGGTTAGTTATATAATAAAGGTGTAAAGGGTGCTGGGGGAATATCATGTACTCACCATCCTGTGTGAATGGTATGTAAGTAAGAAAGAATGTATTTAAGAGTGAGCGAAAGTGTGAATAGGAGGGGAATTGGGGGCTTAAATGACCTAGCTGTTTAGCCTCTGGAGCCCAGCCTCAATGGCTCAACGTGTATAACCAATATCTGACCTCGGATTGCCAAATCCTGAGTGGGTTATTTTCTTTGCCTGCTGGTAATTTATTAAAAATTACAAAAGCTGGTTGGCTGCGAGAAGAAATAGGCTCAACTCTGCGCACATTTGTACATGCATGAACAGATTTGAGGTTATACAAATCAGTAGTCAGTTACTTTACAATGTGTTATTAGATTAATGCATTAGAATTTTATTAAGATTAACAGTAGATTAGATTAACAGATTAGAATATTTAAATTCATTAGATTAACAGTAATAACAAACCTGTTAGTACTTTTGGAGATGACTTGGCCCAAGCATAAGGAAGATCTTCTTCACTCAACTCTTAACAATAAAAAATATTTATAATTAGATGTTTAGAATATGTAGTTGAATATTTATATTATTCTAATGAATTTCAGCTGTATCAGAATGTACAGTATGCTTATTAAACCAATTTTCTATAAAAAAAAGTGGTCTTGATCATTTAAAATCATTTTTATTAAAAGAAACATGTAAATAATTCTACAATTGAATACAAAATAAAATTATCTGGCATAAATAAATTAATAGAATTAGAAATTTAAATGCTTTTAATAGAACAATCACACAACAGAAAAACTAAAACTAAGAAAACAAACAGTCCTATACATTTGTCCACTTGGTTAGCACTTCCATTAATTAGCAACAAATAATGTTAACGTAGTTGTTACAATTAATCACCGGAAAAAAATAATAAGTTTAATTCAAGAATAAATAATAACAATGATGAAATTTGTTCTAAAACAAAAGTTTCTAGCAGAAAAATAGATAATGAAAAATATGAGATACTAAAACTATAAATATCAAATTGTAATTTATATTTGTCCACACATACATTTAGTCTCCCTTTTAAATAAACTCCCATCTTTTCCAAAATTATTTCTGGAGTCCCTCAATGCTCAAGATTTTCCACTTTGTTGTAAAGTTGTTATATTAATGACTCCCATCGCTTTTATGCATATAACTCCCAAATTTATCTTTTCCTCTCACCTCCTGTCTTACAAGCAATTATAAGAATTCAGGAGGACTTCAGTTCAATCAGCTTCTAGGCTGATGAAAGTAACCTTGACACAAAAGTAAAAAAGTCCCAGGTGCTTTTTCATTCCAGGGCACCAAGGTGTCTGAGTTTCGGCGACCAACACATATTTGAGAGCCCATGGCTTTTTAATAGATTATAGATGAAAATATTGTAAAGTGGTTTCACCCCTTCTCCACGACACCCAAACAGAAGATGAATGTTAAGCCCTCCTGAATGGCATAGATTTTACTTTTGCTCATTCCTTACCTTTTACGTTTACTATTAGCTGGCAAGAAACTTTGTACTGCCCTTGATCAGACCTGGAAGCCATAAATTTCTCAGATTGCTTAACACTGCTTTTTGACCCTCCATCACTTCTGTCATGTTAGCTATATATTATATATATTATGCAGGGTGGGCGACCAAGACCCGAGGGGTTAAATGCCTGGGTACCCCATCCCTAAAAGGTCCGGTACTTGGTCGGCTCACGTGTCCTTGCATAAATCTCTTGGACTTGTTCACAAACCCCAAGATTTTGGACCATTTTATCTCGGGGAGTGATTTGGTGATGTCCTCTCCTTCAAAGATTTCAAATCTAGACCTAGCATACCTATCACATTCTGCGAGGTAGTGCTTTGCCGTTTCTTCTTTTATTTTGCAGAAGCGGCAAAAGTGATCTGGTAGGATACCCATTACGAAGAGATGTCTTCTCAGTGGGCAGTGGCCCGTCAGAATACCTATCAGCCTCCTAATTCCCTTCCTTGAGATAGAGAATAGCCATTTCGATTCAGCTGGTTTGATCGCCTTAATGAACTCTTTCGATTGCCTGTGTCCGAGGGATAAATTCCACTCCCTAAGGAATTGTTTCATGCCCCAGTTATTGATACTCTCTTTCACTGTGCTAATAGAGTGAGGTAATACCGGTTGTGGCCCAACAAACGCAGTATTAGAACCTTCTTTGGCTAGGCCATCTGCCTTTTCATTGCCATGGTGTCCTTTATGTGCTGGTATCCAAATGGGTTACCTTGTTCTCAAACCTGAAAGAGATCCTATTGATAAGATCTATAGTTTCCTCCACCTGTCATGAGGTTAACAAATCTTTTTGTAATGCCCTAAGACTAGCCTGACTGTCAGAAAAGATTTTAATATCTTTTCCCATAATTTTATTTTCCATAAGTGTTCTACAACACACATTGATGGCACAGATTTCCGCCTGAAAAACGGAGGTGTTATTGCCAAGAGGGGAGGAGATGCTGATTCCTAATTTTGGTATGTAGATTCCTGCACCCTTCCTCTACCTTTGATAAGTGAACCATCTCTGTAGCAGTCTATGTTATGATGGTCATCATCCAGACTATAATCATAATAACCAGGGGTGACTACCTGAAAGTGCTTTTTCCCCGAAGGGGTTTTAATCTTTTTATCACTAACGCTTAATAATTGACCGTTAACCTTACTCAATAGTTGAGACATTTTCAAGTGACCTATGTTATTGCACTTATGATTCCAGCTGCCTTCGCTAATTAATCTGTAGCAGCTGATTAGTGCTCTGACCTTAACCTCAATATGAAGGGGTGTGGTATGTCATGTTAGCTAACATCTTCCTTTCAGTATGCAAAAACTCCTAGTTTCTCTTTTATACTTTCCCACAGTCCGGTTCTTTGATTACCCATATTCCTTATAAATTGGCATTGAGGTGTTTTAATTGCGCCTTTTTCTTATATATATTTTTGTAAATACGTTTTGTTCAAATTTAATTATTCAAAGGGACTTTTAGCCCTATAAAATTGATTTTTTCATTCATTCATGAGCACCAAACACACAGCTATCGATCGGATACTGAGACAAATAGTAGCAAGTTTAACAATTCAATTAGGCGTCCATTTGTTGATCAATAGCAAGAGCTAGTGAGTTGTAAAATTAATTAACCTGGCTAAACTAGTTTGATAGTTTCGGATCATTTTAGTATGTCTATCGTTGCTCGTCTGTCACATGTGCTTGAGCATTTCACCATCCTCAGTGCTTGAGCTATTCTTTATTGCCAACGGTTAAATTGGGACAGAGATTGTCAAAATACAAAAATAAACCTGACATGCCAAAATGGAATGGCAGGTTAAAATGATCAGGTTTATCAATTCATTGAATAAATCTTCAAGAGTTTAAATAATAAAATGGGCGTATGACGTTTTAAATGTCTATTCGCTCCAGATCCAAAGAGCAAAAAAAAATTAATGGATCATTGTAGTCAAATAAACAAAGTGGCGTTAGGTTGTACTTTCACCAGGAACACACAGACACACACACACACACCTCATTGATACTGATAAAATGAAAATAAAATTTAAATACCCCCTCCACAGAGGTTTGGATAATCTTGATGATAGCCACATACTGTTCCTTCTGGGCACTGCGAACAAGGTGGACCTAATTTATTCATCGCTTTACCCTGTGCATTGCCTGATGGGCCGTAATTACAAATTAACATCTGTTCGTAAAAGTCCTCCCGATATGGAGCTGGACTCCAGTATCTTCCTATAGCACACCCGAGCAGCCTTGTCGTCGACCATGCAGCTTGTGTGAAATGGGCTGTTTCAGAACTGAAATAAATAAACAATGCAATTTGATAATTGCATAGAGTTATTATTGGACTTACATCATTCGAAAAGGATTAACGTAAGATGGCGGAAAGTCTAAAAATTCATCAAATAACTCTTTCTGAAGCGAAGCCAGATCGTCTGAGATCGCATCTTTGTTAGTGTTCCGATTCAACATGAAATTCTGCCCGTAGAAAAATCGATCTGAAATCTTTTATTTTATCCGAATGAAGACAAAGTTTAAAGGCAGTATTTACCTAAAACCCTGCACGATTCATGATAGTCGAAACATCCTAACACATGCGCGTTTGCTGTTTCTTCCAGTTGCGTGTCATAAGTCTGAGAAACTGTTTTATAAAAGAAGTCTTGTAAACTTCATAGTAAATACAGAAGTACATACTAATAATCGCATATCTGCAACTGTCGAGAAGCCCTTTTCAGTTTGCCTCGGCCATTCTCCGCCAGCCCATTTATTCCGGAAATCATTGTGAATATGTAGCATCTGTATTCTGAAGTATGTATTGAACAGGGAGTCATTAAATCCAGAACAATGGGGGATTTTATCCTTTAAAATTTAACATAAAAAAAATTATACATTTTTATATTGTTAATTATTATTGATGTGTAAGTGTATTTTTTAAAACAATTTCAACACTAGTTGCATGCTAGGTGGGGTATTAGAAAAAATTATTACAGGAACAAGACAGAAAATATGTTGATCCGGATGATCACACTTCTGATGGCACCAATCTTTCCCACTCCTTCCGTATACAAAATAAATTTGAAAAGTCAAATAAAAACACAAAATTTTTATATTCATGGCGACAAATTTGTGTGAAAGGTTGAAAGATTGTGTCCTATATTTACATGTGAATAATAAAACGAAGTTTCTGTCCGAACATATGTCTTAAATTCACTAGATTGACCAATTAATATATTTCAAGTAATAAAGGTTTTTAGTTGAGATAAAAAAGTCAGTGTCACGAGCGGGATTCGGACCCACGATCTTCGGCTAGATACGCCGCTGCTCTACCACTTGAGCTTTCGTTACCTCGATCCACTCGGACACTAACTTCCCATCCATCTTAGCCCCACCTTTTTGCCATTTTTCAAATGTTGTATAATCTATGTGCTTCTCCGCGACAAATGAAAAATGGCAAAAAGGAGGGAAAATTCGAAAGGCTGTAAGTTAAGAAGTGTAGTTAGTGTCCGAGTGGATCGAGGTCACGAAAGCTCAAGTGGTAGAGCAGCGGCGTATCTAGCCGAAGGTCGTGGGTTCGAATCCCGCTCGTGGCACTGACTTTTTTTTATCTCAACTAAAAACCTTCATTAATTGAAATATGTCTTAAAGTTTAATAAACTTAGAATAAAGAGTAGATCTTAGTTTAGAAGGAACATTTAATACTGCTGCGTGGGATCATAAAAGAAACGCATAAAGTTTCTCCTTTGAAAAGGAAAAATGGTCATGGTTTTATCCAGTACAGGCGGTGTCTGGGAAATATTTACATCTTTTTTATTTAAAATTTAAAAAGTTCGTAAAATATTATTTTCCGCTTTTGTGTCCTAAAGGGTTCTTTTTTTATATTTATAATACGCCTCATCAATTCTTCGGGAAAGAGTAGCCAAGAGTGATAGGGCGGAAGGGAGCGATGCCATTTGGGGAGGAAGGGCGCGTGCCCCTGGGTCGCTTTTCCTCCCCGGCCGTCAGTATGAAACGTGGTTATGAACAGTGCGGTGCGACTACCCAATTTTGGCCTTTTGACAAAAAGTCACGTTACGATGGCAACCATACACTGATACCTTTTCTCTACCACACTCTTCCTCTCACTTTTTTCTCTCTATCTCTCATGCCAACCAGCCTCAACTTTTGTGTCTGTTTAATGCCTTTTAATTTCTCTTTTGGTTAACAATTCTGGACACCCTCTGCTGAGACACTGTTAACTCTCAACGATAAAATCAAAAGGTACATTTTTTTAGGAAAACGAAAAACACGATCTGGTTTTATACAATACACGTCACACTTTTATCCTCCTTGCAATAAAAGTCCCTCTTCTCAAAAAAATTTCAAAATAGCTTTCCTATTTCGACAAGTAGAAAGCACTCAATCAAAGAAAACAAAAAAGTCCATAAAAAATAGAGTTGCGCTCAATAAATTTTATTTAGGAAACCATGAAAAATTTTAGACTTCGTAAATTTTTTAAAATTCCTCAGAAATTCCATGGCACAAAAAAAAAACACTAATGCAGAAAATTGTTACTAAATCTACCATCCTATATATTTTTATATTTTCCGAATAATTTGCATATAATATGGATCTCAGCTGTTTTTGCGTGTCATGCTATTGTGCTGAAGTTTTTTACTAAGATACATTTCCGATATGACTTAAAATTGAATATATTTAACGACTGAACTTTAGAAAAGTTTTAAATTTGTAAAACAATTGATCGCTTGAACTCTTGGTCGGACAACTTTACAGGGAAACTTCCGAATGGTTTTCTAAGTTTCGAATTTCCTCACTTTTTGTTTTATTGTTGTATCAAGATGAGACCTTTATTTGCCGATTAAAATAATTATTTTGAAAGCGTACAATTACAAGCGACGCAGATTCAATCGGAAAATTTATTTTTTCAAAGAATTATTTTGAAAAAAATCAAAAGAAAATTCTTGTTGATATTTAGTCACGGTTTGACTAATATTTTTTCTTTCGAAACACTGGGTTTTATTAAATTGAAAACACAATTGTGTCAGCAAGAATGACGAAGAAATAATGAGTGGCAAAGGACAAAAAAAAGAAAAAAAAGAACAGAGGTATATTCATATACCTCTTCCTTGGCCAGGAAGAGATAAATCAGGCTGTCGTCGTGTTTTTTAAGTAAAATACCGAAAAATAAAATGGACAAATATTACAATATTGCATCAAAGAGAGAAATTTATTTCAAATTAAAATAATTATTTTGAAGGCATCTACTTTCACAATTGCAAGTGACGCAGATTCAATCAGAAAATTTATTTTTTCAAAGAATTATTTTAAAAGAACCAAAAGAAAATTCTTGTTTTCTTGTACATAAATTATATTCACGGTTTCACTAATATTTTTTCTTTCGAAACACTGGGTTTTATTAAATTGAAAACACAACTGTGTCAGCAAGAATGACGAAGAAATAATGAGTGGCAAAGGACAAAAAAAAAAAAATGACAAAAAAAGACAAAGGTACATTCCTATACCTCTTCCTTGGCCAGGAAGAGATAAATCTTGCTGTCGTCGTGTTTTTTTTAATAAAATACCGAAAAATAAAATAGACAAATATTGCAATATTGTTTCAAGGGGAGAAATTCATTTTCAAATTAAAATAATTATTTTGAAGGCATCTATTGTACCTTCACAATTGCAAGTGATGCAGATTCAATCGTGAAATGAGAAATTTTTAAAATAATTTAAAGAAATATCCATCTTTGTGTACTCTGAAATAAGAAAATTTAGCTAAAATCAGATTATTATTATTTTTTATTATAACAAAATGCAAAGAAATGGTCGTTTTGCCATAACGACAAATGGTAAAAAGCATGTGGATTTGATTTTTCATTAAAAAAAAAATTGATTTCATTTTTATAAATCTTTTCAGATACCTCTGTACAGTTTCTTTTTAATCTTTATTTTTCATTTAGAAACATAGGCGATAGAGTCAAAACGCAACAGTAACTCCAAGGAAGATGAATAAGTAACTAGTGTCAAAGGACATTTCATATTTTGGGCTTTGGCCCATACGAAAAATACCGAAAAATATAAAACACAAGAATATTAAGAACAAAAGACTTTGTTTAAATTATTTTACAATATTTCTTTTTAACAAACTTGGTTAAAGTAATAAAAAAGAACTAGTTAGGTCGTTTTCTCTTGTTTCCGTCTACCTATCCTCTCTGGCTTATCTTAAAAAAAATTAACCTTTGTGAACGCTAAAATACGACATTTTATTTATTCAAATTATAATTTTGTTTGATTTTTATACCGAAATGCAGACAAAAGCGCGGATTTCTACAACTCCAATTAGTAAAACTAACGTGCATTTCATTTTTAGTTAAGAAAAACTCTTGTTTTCTTATACACAAACATCGGAATTTTACTTATACACGGTTTTTTTCTTTAATATTTCCCCTTTTTTTCGAAACTCCGCGGTGTCTTAAACAGAAAACGCAATAGGGCTGTGCTGGGATTCGAACCCTGATCCACTTCTTGTTTGCATCGGCTAAAAAACTGTTTACTCCTAACTTCAACTCGGTCTTATTCATCGGCCGGGAGGATTTCAGGGTAAGATAATAAGGTTGTGTTGGGATGTATAAGAAAAGTTGTCAGTATAAATAAATGACAGGATGGGTCCAGGGATGATCCCTTGTGAGACGCCGGCTTGTATTGGTCGATTATTTGTGTATTCCTTGCTGTAACTCGGTCTAATGCAGTGATCAGTTGAATAGGATTCCATGGTAAGGTAATAAGGTGGTGTTGGGATGTTTAAGAAAAGTTGTCAGTATAAATAAATGACAGGATGGGTCCAGGGATGATCCCTTGTGAGACGCCGGCTTGTATTGGCCAAATATATGTGTACCCTTGCTTTAACTCGATGTAATGCAGTGATCAGTTAAATAGGATTCCATAGTAAGGTAATAAAGTGGTACAGGAAAGCAGTATAAATGGTATACAGGCTGGGACCAAAGATGTTTCCTTACGAGACGCCGGTTTGTGTTGTTCTGTTATCCGAGTATTCGTTGCCGCACTTAACTATGAGGCAGATTACATTTAAATATGATTCCAGTATAAGGGAATAAGGTAGTGTGGAGTACATAGAAAAGAAAGCATTATGAGCTGAATAGAGGTTGGGACTGATGGCGCTCCCTTGTGAGACACCGGCTTTTAGTGGTCAAATATCAATGTACTCCTTGCTGCAGAAACTCGCTCTAATGCAATGTTCAGTTAAAAAGGATTCCAGAATAAGGTCATAATCAGTAGGAAGCGTTTAAGTTTGTAGTCTAGGTGCCAGAACCTGAACCTTGGGTCACATTCGCATCCAAGCAATACTCTTTGTCCTCTTGAAAAACTGATGTGGAAACCTTGCTGAATTGAGGAATGATGAAGAGAAAAGTCGATTTGGGTAGAAAGAACGATTTATGCGAATTTACGATGGGTATTAACCTGAAATGAGCCTTTCTTTGATGTGATTTTGTACATCACAAGATGAAGGCTGATGGCTCTAGAAGGATATGCTGGGAGTTTTGTGATAATTTTTAATGAGAATGACTACGAAATACTTTTATATGAGAGGCCAGATAGTGGTACTTCTGAGTAAAATTTTGTAGTATAATGGAGGTGATTAGGTCATATCCAGGAGATGTTTTACTTGGGTATTTGTGTAGTTTTTGACTTCTAGCTGAAAAGGTACGAACATAACGCAACGACAAGAAAAGTGGCACAGAACAAAAAAGTTATAAAAACTGGATTATTTAGTTTTTTGAAGAATACGGGGGTGCGATGCTACAGAAAAATGACACAACTGTAGGTGGACCCTTAGCTACCAAGCATCACTATGTGTCACTTTTGAATTGGCCGGAACGTACTGTCACCATTCACGAAAAGTAGCATATCTTAGTTCTGAGTGGAGCTTTAAAGCATCGGTGTATGAAATATCTGTAAAAATGACTTTTACATCACGTGGGGAAACAACAAATTTGTTACAACCAACAAGAGGAAACTTACATCAATAATGGCAATGAAGTCACGAAAAGTGGCCTATATTAGTTCTGTGTCGAGCTTTAAAGCATAGGTGTGAGTATTTATCAGGAAAAGTGGCACATTTCGAGTTATGGCAGTTTTTTCTTGCTTAGAACGTTATATATAGATATAGATTTTATGCTGTACCGGGGTCACATTTTCACATTATGAAAAACAATTCTTAAATCAATTGAACAAATATGTTTTTCCAAATGTGAAATTAACACAGGCACTGATATTGGCCTTGAACTAGTCGACAGCTTGGCAGTAACAGCTGAATCTCCTTTTTTATTCAAGGCCATACCTTGATCTAGAGTGTTTGTGAATTATTTTAGTTTCATATCTTTTATTTTATTCACTAGTTTTCGTGGGCCGCTTGACCAATTAATATATTTCAATTAATTAAGGTTTTTAGTTGAGATAAAAAAGTCAGTGTCACGAGCGGGATTCGAACCCAAGATTGTCGGCTAGATAAGCCGCTGCTCTACCACTTGAGCTATAGTGACCTCGATCCACTCGGACACTAACTTTCCATCTCAACCCCACCTTTTGAATTTTCCCTCCTTTTTGCCATTTTTCAAATGTCGTGTCACCTATTTGATTCTCGGCGACGAATGAAATAGTCACGGGGAGCTTTAGTAAAGTATACTCATTTTAACTTATTAAATTCACTAGTTTTCGTGGTCCGCTTGACCATTTAATATCTTTCAATTAATTAAGGTTTTTAGTTAAGATAAAAAAGTCAGTGTCACGAACGGGATTCGAACCCACGACCTTCGGCTAGATACGCCGCTGCTCTAACACTTGAGCTATCTTGACTTCGATCCACTCGGACTCTAACTTCTTGTTTTCTTCTTCTTTTATTTTAATTACATTCTTACTTATAATATTGTTTTTTATACTTTTTTAACATTGTTGTTTTTTAACTTATATTCTTTCATAGTTTCAACGATTTTTAATACTTACCTTTTTATGTTTTTTTTTTAAAAATACAATTGCGTCAAAAATATCCTTAGTAAAACTTACTACATGGATATTTATGCTCGTTTGTTAAGTTTGTATATTCGTTTGTCATAGACCACCATTATCGTCGGAGCAAACTACTTAAATTAGTGAGAGCCAACATATTCAAGAAAAGTGTCACAATTTAAAAATGGGTAGGTTTTGAGGGTTAGTACAGGTGGATTTTTAAAGTTTTGTGT